GGTGGGTGTCCTAGAACCTATGACTCATGGTGGGGTGGGTGTCCTAGAACCTATGACTCATGGTGGGGTGGGTGTCCTAGAACCTATGACTCATGGTGGGGTGGGTGTCCTAGAACCTATGACTCATGGTGGGGTGGGTGTCCTAGAACCTATGGCTCATGGTGGGGTGGGTGTCCTAGAACCTATGGCTCATGGTGGAGTAGGTGTCCTAGAACCACTGGCTTAGGGCAAGAATGTATTTCTTCTTCAATAAGATCAGAAGCTGCTTTGTGAATTCACTTCAGCTGACAGTTTCAGAGGGCAATGCCTACCAACATGCGTTTAAACACAACCTTTCAAATTTAACCTTTTTTTTTTTTTATTTCAGTCGCTCTTTGTTTTGCTTGGAGAGATGTTCAGGGGAAGAAAAATATTCCAGGTTTGTGGAATGAGTATGTGGGTACTGAGACCAACTTCAGGCAGACAGACAATAGCTGAAGCTTGGGTGGTGTGGTTAGATGAACTCAGACTGAGGATAGGGGTGATGAGATCAAAAGCAGAGAAGCCTTGACCGCCAAGCAGAGGTGGGCCTGCGTTTCCCTCAGATAGTAAACAAAATGTCTGCTTCACCTTGGTCAGTCAGTAAGGAAACCAGGAATTCATTACATAAGGAAAGAACCAGAAGTGAGACCTCAGACTGAGTCTCGCTGGAAAGGAAGACTGTTCAGGGGCAGCCCATGCTTCTTTCTGTTCCACAGAGCACAGGCTGCCTCACAACCTCAAACACTCTAGAACAATCCCTGCTGCAGATGGGAAGCTTCTGAAGGTGTATGGCCACCAGGAAGCTATGAAGCCACCTCAGTGAACCAAGGCAATTTTTGTAATTAACCTCATGGCCAGTGTGTTCCTACTCTAAAGACCTTAATGGAAAGCTGAGAGACAATTCCTCAGTCTGGCTTATGTGGCTGAGTGCACTCTTTGCTGAATTCCAAAACATTCCCCCACAGTCTTCTGAGATATGAAGGAAAGCAAGGAAACAAACCTCAGCAGGTGAAGATCACCCCCCCTTCCTTTCTCCTTTGCCTCTGACCTCAGCAGCCACCCAGGTTGAGATTTATGTGGAGTTATGCACCAAGCCAGGGGACATGGTCTGCTCATAAGACAGTGAGTTCTCCACTGTCTGCAAGAACAACCTGCTCACTTCTCTCTATTTCCTGTTTATTTGCCTCCTGCTTATGTTATATCCTAGACCTGCTCGTCACCCTAGGAGGCAAGATCCCACGGCTTGAAGACATTTGCTTTCTCTCTCTCTCTCTCCTCTCTCCCCACACACACCTCCCCTGTCTCTTGGACAGGGAGTTAAGGAGCCTTGTGAAATAGTAAATGATATTATTTTAAATATTCTATGAGATGTGTCCAATGAGATAAAGACACAATAGGATGGGAGAAAAAGAGGAGAGAGACTGTAGAAAAGAGAGAAGCAAGAAGGGAAATGAAGAAAGTCAAGGAGAGAAAGAGGAAAGGATGAGAAAAAAGAATTTTTAATGATAAAGAAAGCAACTTCTCAACAGTGAAAAGGTTCAAACCAAATTCAATAAATGTAAGGTGAGGAATAAAATATGAAAAAACAAGGGGACTTAAAAATGGCAATAAGGTAAAGGTAAAATACTACTCCACACAGAGAGGGAAGAATGATGATGCATGGGGAACAGAGAAGAGAAGAAACTGAAGAGGAAAAACTGCCCACAGATGGAAAAACACATTTAAAAAATCAGGCAGAAGTGTGAAGGAGAGAGTAAGGAATATAAGATTTAAAAATACAGTGCAGAGGTAAGGAGAATGCTCAGTCAGGAAAAGGCTTGCAAAGCAAGGACCTGACTTCAATTTCTAGAATAAATGTAGAAAAGAAGCCACGTGTAGTGGCAGGTGCTTGTAATCTCAGAACTGGGAAACCAGACATAGGTGAATCCCTGGGCCTTGCTGGCCAGGTGGTCTAGCCTGCTTAGAGAGTTCCAGGGCAATGAGAGACTATCTCATAAAATAAGACAGACCAGCTCCCGAGGTTTGTTTTTACTTACTTACTTACTTATTTATTTATTTATTTATTTATTTATTTATTTATTAAAGATTTCTGTCTCTTCCCCACCACCGCCTACCATTTCCCTCCCCCTCCCCCAACCAAGGCCCCCTCCCTCGTCAGCCCAAAAAGCAATCAGGGTTCACTGCCCTGTGGGAAGTCCAAGGACCACCCACCTCCATCCAGGTCTAGTAAGGTGAGCATCCAAACTGCCTAGGCTCCCACAAAGCCAATAAGTGCAGTAGGAACAAAAACCCATTGCCATTGTTCTTGAGTTCTTGGTGCACCCACACACTGAGACAATGGGGATGTTCTATCGGGAACTCACCAAGGCCAACTGGCCTGGGTTTGAAAAAGCCTGGGATAAAACCGGTCTCGCTGAACATAGCGGACAATGAGGACTACCAAGAACTCCCGAGGTTTTTTATAAACAGCTGGCCTTCACATGGATGTATACACACATGACCTGCACACACACGTGTACCACCATGAACACACACACACACACAAATAAGCACATTAACAAGATACATATCAGATTTAAAAATACAAAACAATAAGAATCTCTGTTAAGTGAGTAAAAAAATTTAAAAAATGACATTTTGGGACTAGTTTTCCATTTCCTGAAATTTGGAGAGTGATAGGGATAGGGAGAGGCCAGATAAACTATAGATCTGTGTTTCCTTTGGTTTATTTATTCTGGTGCTCAGTCTCTACTTAACAAGTGTCTGATGTCTGCCAGAGCTGTGTTCACAGTAGCCTTTTCCTCCTCTGCTGGCTACACTCAGGTTGACTGTGAGCCAGACCACTTCTATTATGCTCCCAAGACTCCCCAGATTGCCCTCCCAGGAGTGGCTGTGTTACCCAAGGAGTATCCCTCAAGTGGATTGGGAGTCAAGCAACCACACCACTGAGGTTGGTACAGGTGCAGAACCTGTCCTTGTACTGTTGTGGCTTTTGAAATATTAATCAAGCTGTTAGAGCCAACTACTGGGAGTACCACGAGGACCCAGAACTTCAGTGTTCCCAAGCTCTACAGCATTGAAGGGCAGATAGGAGGCTCCAGAATCTGATCTACCTATTGGTATCAGGCTCAGACTTAACAAACTCCTGGGTAATTCTTAGCTGATGAATTACCCTCAAGGACCAGGCTATGTTGCAGGAGGTCACTTGTTTCATTCCTGGCTGCTAAGCCCCAAAATAATCAAACAGAAAGTATATTATTTAAATCACTGTTTGGCCCATTAGCTCTAACTTCTTTTTTTTTTTCAAGTTTCAAAGATTTATTCATCAGTTTAAAAAAAATCAACATGATTTCATGCATTCAGAAGAGTATTTCCTGGTCAAGTGGAAAATTGTGCGGATGCTTCTGAAAGACCTTCATTATAAGCAGCTTTATGGTGAGCTTCACAGTTTAGAAGTCAGGGCCTTCTTTCTTCACTTTGCTGTAGTTCACATTCACTGAGTAGAACTTATATTGTTCATTGGGACCCAGTTTGTTCCAAGGCTCTGGGTTATTTTTCCTGTCCCAGATGACATCTGGATTGAACAATGCCAGGCACTTCACATGCAGTGCTGCTCCAGTACCTCCTGCTCCAATAAATACGAAGAGAGGAATCAAGCTGGGATGCTTCTTGGCTTGCCCGATGATCTGACGGAGCATGTTTGCGGCAGAGGCCTACCTCCATGGAGACAGGAGAACGAGCGTGGGACACACACCAAGCGGCTTCTGCAACCCGGCCTAGCTCTAACTTCTTATTGGCTAACTCTTACATCCTAATTTAACCCATTTCTATTAATCTATGTTTCGCCACATGGCTGTGGTTTATCAGCTAAAGTTCCATCTGGCTGGGCTACATGGCTTCTCCCTGACTCTGCCTCCTTTCTCTCAGCATTCTGTTTCGTTTTCCCCATCTAGCTCTGTTCCCCTAAAGCTCTGCTATAGGTCCAAAGCAGCTTCTTTATTAACCAATGATATTCACAGCACACAGAGGGGAATCCCACATCAAGGCTATTCTCAGCCTGGGCCAGCCTTCTCCACCTGCACTCTTTGGCCCACCAGTGTCCAACCATCATATATCCTCACACACCCCAAATCTGGGCCTTCCCTCACCTGGGGCTATGACAGGCCAAAATTAAGGTTCCTCACTGTGGGTATACCCCAGTCTGTGGGTGTTCCCCAGTCTCAGATCCCTGGGGTAGTTCAATTTTGAGAACAGATTTTCAAACCACTTGCCTGATGTATCTGATCAGGATGCTCAGACGTGCAGTGTGAGATCATGAGTTGGACCTATCTGCTAGAGAAACCACCTTCTCACTAAAGTCATCAGATAGATTTATGGCTCCTGAGGGATGTGGGCCTTCCTGCAGAGAGGACAGCCTGATTCTTCTGTGCTTATAAATTTTAAAATCCATGTCCCCTTTCCTAACAAGGGACTGCAAACCTGAGGTCACTCGGTGCTTGGCTTGCCTCTTGCCACACATCTGAATCTGTATTCTTATCTTGTATCATTTCACTTCCTGGGCGGATTTCTAAATAAGGTCTACATTTTGCTTATTCCAACTTAACTTCTTTACCACTTCTCGTAGAAGCAGCCTCTAGTTCCATATCCAGAAGGAACACATCAGTTTTCTTTTGTCTGTTAGCAGCATGACACAGTTTGTATTTCCATATCCTTTCTGTTAACCTCTTTGCCTATGTATAATGTGTGTTCCCAGCAGACAGTAGACAGACTGTTCAATTCAATCGGACAGTCTCTACCTTTATTTGAGGTTTATATACCATTTATATTTAATATGGTTGCAGATATGTGTCTAAATCTATCATCTTGCTTCCTTTAATTATATGTACCATCTGTCTATGTTCACCTTTTCTTTCTTTTTTGGTTAGTATTGAAAAGATAGAGACTGTCCAATTAGATTGAACAGTAAAGCCCAGCTGCCCGCTGCCTGTCAGAAACACACACTATATCTAGGTAAATAGGTTAACAGAAAAATTACAGAAATATAAACTGTGTCATGCTGCTACCGATGATGACATTAAGAAACATCTCCATCTGCAGAAGGAAGTAAACTATAGAATATGGCAATGATGCTTAAGATCCTTGGGCCATGTTATAAGAATGAATGATGGCAGATACCTTAACATAACACTGCTTGGAGGAGTACACAGGATGAGGCAAAGAGGAAGGCCCAAAAATTGCTAGATAGACAGCATAAAGGAAGAATGTAGAACCTTGGGTATGGCAATAACACAAGCATCTAGGACTGCCCAGGATAGGAACAGCTGGAGAACCACCATAACTGGGCTGCCCATGCAATCTTAAGCATTGTCGGGGCATAAATGATGATGAATAATAATGATTATTAATAATTCCTTGTGATCTTCCTTTGCTACTCATTGGCTATACTTACACTTGTGTTTATGATGGCTGCTTTAGGGTTTACAGTGTACCACTTCACTTTAGCTGTCTGCTTTTAGGTGATGGGGAATACAGAACCAACATAAACATGTGTTTCCATTTCCCCTTTCCTCTCTTCAGAGCATTGCTTCCCTGTGTTTTATAATCCCTATGTACACTACTATTTTATTAAACAGCCACTTGCATTTCAAAGAGGCTTGCTTGTTAAGGGAAACAGTATTACAGATGTACTTACTACTTCTAGGACTCCATTTCTTTAGTACATCTAGGCATTTGACATTTTTCTCTTGCCTAAAGGACTTATGTTAACATTTTGTATACAGCAAGTCTCTTGAAAAGTTATTTCAACTTCTGTATGTCTGAAACAGATTGTGAGATTGTGCCTTCATGTTTTGTTAAAATCTCATTTTATATCCGACTATAAGACATTGTTACAATTGAAGTAAATTTAAATTAGTATATGTTAATCTTGCAAAATACTGGGTCCAGTGGCATTTTCATATATGTATATGATATACTTTGATAATATTCACTCTCCTGTTGCCTGTACTTACCTTTCTGGTCCAGTCCCCTTCTTCCTTAGTATATCCTCTACTTCTATATATTTATTTTAAAATACAGATTTTGTACATGTTTGAAAACATGCAATGTTTGTCTGAGTCCAGCTTATTTAACTTAAACGGTGGTTTCTGTTGCCACTCTAGAGGCAGAATGGCTTGGGAGAACGGTGTTGACAAATGAGGCGGACTAAAGTTTCATATAATAGACAACTTAATTCACAGCCCCAGACAATTTAACTCTGAAGGTTAAGAATGGTCTGCGAGTAAAGTTCTCTGAGTTCAAGCTGTAGACAATCACAAGGACAAGTGGCAAGAACACGGGTTTCCATTGAGGCGCATACAGGAGAGCTTAAACATTTAATTGAATTACAACAGCAAGCAATAATGAGTAACCTGAAGTCACAAGACTCTTGCCTCGTTTTCTTGTAGGGATCTCACAAGCACTTAGAGCTCTCCTTGCCTGGTTCCATTCTTGACAGTCTCTGGTTCCGTACATTTTCCTATAAGCAACAGGCTTCTGTTTTTCTTTGTAGCTCAGTACAGCTCCAGTGCGTACTCAATGCATTTTGTTCACTCATCCATCCGTTAATTGATGCATACAGGTCTGCAGGAAACACAGCCTGCAGATCTCTCTCTGACATGCTGACTTGGATTTGTCTGGATTAGCCCGGCTTGCTTCTATTGCTGTTCGATTGGTGTTTACCATGATCAAAACAACTTGGGAGGTAAGCTCATCTTACAGCTTACAGTCCATCACTGAGGGAAGCCAGGCAGGAGGAGCCTAGGGCAGGGCCTGGAGGGATGCTGGAAGGCAGAAAATGTGAAGGAGTGCTGCTTTATCGGCTTGCTTAACCTGATGTCTTATACACGCCAGGACCACTTGTCCAGGGCTGCCGCTGCCCACAGTGGGCTGAGCCTTCCTGCACCGATCATCAGTCAGGAAAATTCCCCCTCAAACTGCCCCACAGGCCAGTCTGAGGGAGGCAATTCCTCAATTGAGGTTCCCTCTTCCCAGATTACTCTAGCTTGTGTTAAGTTGAAAAAAAAAAAGTAAAGGAAAAAGAAAAGAAACCCAGCAGAGACATACACTCAGGCGTTGTATGGTTGGATCATATGGCAGCTCTGTCTTTAAGTTTGTGGGAAACTCCACACTATTTCCATGGTGGCCAAGCAGATCTGCCTCCTCAGCAACAGCATGGAAGCATCTCTTTTCCATCCAAAGCCTCAGTCGCATTTGATGTTTTCTGTTGTCTCGATCATATCATCTGCTATGGGAATAATTTTGCTTCCTGACTTCTTCCTTTCCTATTTATAACCCTTTCATTTATTCCTCTTATTTCTGTAAGAATTCAAGCACTATATTAAGTAAGCGCAGATGCCATTCTTGTTGCAGGGCTTGGAGGAATTGCTTTCTGTCTTACCTCATGTCTTAAAATGATGGTGCCTTGGTTGGGGTTTCTAGTGCTGCGAAGAGACACCAGAACCACGACAGCTCTTATAAAGGAAAAACATTTAATTGGGGTGACTTACAGCTTCTGAGGCTTAGTCCATTGTCATCTTGGTGTAACACGGTGGCCTGCAGGCAGACATGGTGCTGCCAAAGGAGTTGAGAGTCCTATGACTTGACCCGCAGACAGCAGGAAATAACTCGAACCTATGAGACCTCAAAGCCCGCCTCCACAGTGACACACTTCCTCTAACGAAGCCACACCTCTTAATAGTGCCATTCCCTATGGGGGCCATTTTCTTTTGAACCACCATAGATGGCTATTGGTTTGTCATACATGACTTTTATGATAATTCTGTTTCTAGTTTGTCCAGGCCTTTCCTCATGAAGGCATGGGGATGGTTGTGTGATGTCTTGTTCTTGATTCCACTTCCACTTATTGTTCCATCCCCGCACTTGGAGCCACTCTTTCCTTTCTGGAATGAAGACAAATGACTGTGGTCTACGAGCATTTGAATGTGTTGGGTTTAGCCGAGACCTGGCCAGTCAAGTGTAGGTTGTCGGCGTCTGTGCTGCCTTCACCTGAGAAGCTTCCCTTCTTCACATCAGGGGCTGCCTCTGGCCCTAAGAACAGCTATAGCCCGTGGGCTGGGCAGATTCCCACTCCAGAGACACCCCAGTTTGAGCATCCAAGGGAAGCAAATGTCTGTGTTGAGACTGTTCCCTAAGGTCCCAGAGAGTAGGAGAACAAAGAGAGCACTGGGCTCTGCACTAGGGAGGACAGGGCCAAGGGAACTGGGCACTCTGCCTACGAGTCTTACCCATTTCAGGCCTAGTCCACCAGTAAAGCACCTGGCAGGAGGGGCAGGCTAGGGAAATCAAGCAGTACACTCCTGGGACCTGGGTCCAAGCTCTCAGAACCACCAGGCAGAGACTTACACAGGGCAGGAGACAGTTCAGGAAGCCAAACAATCTGCCTTCCAGGGCCACCGACCACCACATCCTTCACACCCAAACTCCCTGCTGCTTGGCTTCCCAGCAGAGGTGGTTTGAACCAAAGGGTTCCTGTAGGCTACTGTATGTTAATGTTTGGTTCCTAAATTGATGGATGGTTTAAGAAGGATTGTGTGGCCTTGCATCACTGGGCTTTCAGCTCTCAAAAGCCCACACTGGTCCACATCCCCCCTCTTCCCCATCCTCTGAAAATCACGATATAGCATGCACGCCTGCCTGCCTCCCACCCTGCTCCCCACCATGCTGGTCATGGCTGAATCCTTTGAAACTGTAAGCA